CATCTTGTAGGAGTGAGGAAGATCCAGTTGTGAGTGTGGGGGAAGTTCGTGAGGCAGTAGGTAAAACGAAAGGGGGCAAGGCAGCTGGGATTGATGGGATAAAGATAGAAATGTTAAAAGCAGGTGGGGATATAGTTTTGGAGTGGTTGGTGCAATTATTTAATAAATGTATGGAAGAGGGTAAGGTACCTAGGGATTGGCAGAGAGCATGCATAGTTCCTTTGTATAAAGGCAAAGGGGACAAAAGAGAGTGCAAAAATTATAGGGGGATAAGTCTGTTGAGTATACCTGGTAAAGTGTATGGTAGAGTTATTATTGAAAGAATTAAAAGTAAGACGGAGAATAGGATAGCAGATGAACAAGGAGGCTTTAGGAAAGGTAGGGGGTGTGTGGACCAGGTGTTTACAGTGAAACATATAAGTGAACAGTATTTAGATAAGGCTAAAGAGGTCTTTGTGGCATTTATGGATTTGGAAAAGGCGTATGACAGGGTGGATAGGGGGCAATGTGGCAGATGTTGCAGGTGTATGGTGTAGGAGGTAGGTTACTGAAAGCAGTGAAGAGTTTTTACGAGGATAGTGAGGCTCAAGTTAGAGTACATAGGAAAGAGGGAAATTATTTCCCAGTAAAAGTAGGCCTTAGACAAGGATGTGTGATGTCACTGTGGTTGTTTAATATATTTATAGATGGGGTTGTAAGAGAAGTAAATGCGAGGGTCTTGACAATGGCATGGAGTTAAAGATAAAGAATCACACATAAAGTGGGAGTTGTCACAGTTGCTCTTTGCTGATGACACTGTGCTCTTGGGAGATTCTGAAGAGAAGTTGCAGAGATTGGTGGATGAATTTGGTAGGGTGTGCAAAAGAAGAAAATTAAAAGTGAATACAGGAAAGAGTAAGGTTATGAGGATAACAAAAATATTAGGTGATGAAAGATTGGATATCAGATTGGAGGGAGAGAGTATGGAGGAGGTGAATGTATTCAGATATTTGGGAGTGGACGTGTCAGCAGATGGGTCTATGAAGGATGAGGTGGATCATAGAATTGATGAGGGGAAAAGGGTGAGTGGTGCACTTAGGAGTCTGTGGAGACAAAGAACTTTGTCCTTGGAGGCAAAGAGGGGAATGTATGAGAGTATAGTTTTACCAACACTCTTATATGGGTGTGAAGCATGGGTGATGAATGTTGCAGCGAGGAGAAGGCTGGAGGCAGTGGAGATGTCATGTCTGAGGGCAATGTGTGGTGTGAATATTATGCAGAGAATTCGTAGTTTGGAAGTTAGGAGGAGGTGCGGGATTACCAAAACTGTTGTCCAGAGGGCTGAGGAAGGGTTGTTGAGGTGGTTCGGACATGTGGAGAGAATGGAGCGAAACAGAATGACTTCAAGAATGTATCAGTCTGTAGTGGAAGGAAGGCGGGGTAGGGGTCGGCCTAGGAAAGGTTGGAGGGAGGGGGTAAAGGAGGTTTTGTGTGCGAGGGGCTTGGACTTCCAGTAGGCGTGCGTGAGCGTGTTTGATAGGAGTGAATGGAGACGAATGGTTTTTAATACTTGACGTGCTGTTGGAGTGTGAGCAAAGTAACATTTATGAAGGGGTTCAGGGAAACCGGCAGGCCGGACTTGAGTCCTGGAGATGGGAAGTACAGTGCCTGCACTCTGAAGGAGGGGTGTTAATGTTGCAGTTTAAAAACTGTAGTGTAAAGCACCCTTCTGGCAAGACAGTGATGGAGTGAATGATGGTGAAAGTTTTTCTTTTTCGGGCTACCCTGCCTTGGTGGGAATCGGCCAGTGTGATAATAATAAAAATAATCTTTGATATTGTTTTAATGTCACTTTTGCACCATTTATAACATTTCTGGTATATTTTTAAATGTTTATGATGTAGCACGTAATGAAAGTAGTTTGTTAGATTATGTATTGGTGGATAAAAGGTTGATGGGTAGGCTCCAGGATGTACACGTTTATAGAGGGGCAACTGATATATCGGATCATTATTTAGTTGTAGCTACAGTTAGAGTAAGAGGTAGATGGGAAAAGAGGAAGGTGGCAACAACAAGTAAGAGGGAGGTGAAAGTGTATAAACTAATGGAGGAGGAAGTTCGGGGGAGATATAAGCGACTGTTGGCAGAAAGGTGGGCTAGTGCAAGGATGAGCAGTGGGGGGGTTGAAGAGGGTTGGAATAGTTTTAAAAATGCAGTATTAGAATGTGGGGCAGAAGTTTGTGGTTATAGGAGGGTGGGGGCAGGTGGAAAGAGGAGTGATTGGTGGAATGATGAAATAAAGGGTGTGATAAAAGAGAAAAAGTTAGCTTATGAGAGGTTTTTACAAAGCAGAAGTGTTATAAGAAGAGCAGAGTATATGGAGAGTAAAAGAAAGGTGAAGAGAGTGGTGAGAGAGTGCAAAAGGAGAGCAGATGATAGAGTGGGAGAGGCACTGTCAAGAAATTTTAATGAAAATAAGAAAAAATTTTGGAGTGAGTTAAACAAGTTAAGAAAGCCTAGGGAAAGTATGGATTTGTCAGTTAAAAACGGAGTAGGGGAGTTAGTAGATGGGGAGAGGGAGGTATTAGGTAGATGGCGAGAATATTTTGAGGAACTTTTAAATGTTGAGGAAGAAAGGGAGGCAGTAATTTCATGCACTGGTCAGGGAGGTATACCATCTTTTAGGAGTGAAGAAGAGCAGAATGTAAGTGTGGGGGAGGTACGCGAGGCATTACGTAGAATGAAAGGGGGTAAAGCAGCTGGAACTGATGGGATCATGACAGAAATGTTAAAAGCAGGGGGGATATAGTGTTGGAGTGGTTGGTAGTTTTGTTTAATAAATTTATGAAAGAGGGGAAAGTACCTAGGGATTGGCGGAGAGCATGTATAGTCCCTTTATATAAAGGGAAAGGGGACAAAAGAGATTGTAAAAATTATAGAGGAATAAGTTTATTGAGTATACCAGGAAAAGTGTACGGTAGGGTTATAATTGAAAGAATTAGAGGTAAGACAGAATGTAGGATTGCGGATGAGCAAGGAGGTTTTAGAGTGGGTAGGGGATGTGTAGATCAAGTGTTTACATTGAAGCATATATGTGAACAGTATTTAGATAAAGGTAGGGAAGTTTTTATTGCATTTATGGATTTAGAAAAGGCATATGATAGAGTGGTTAGGGGAGCAATGTGGCAGATGTTGCAAGTATATGGAATAGGTGGTAAGTTACTAAATGCTGTAAAGAGTTTTTATGAGGATAGTGAGGCTCAGGTTAGGGTGTGTAGAAGAGAGGGAGACTAATTCCCGGTAAAAGTAGGTCTTAGACAGGGATGTGTAATGTCACCATGGTTGTCTAATATATTTATAGATGGGGTTGTAAAAGAAGTAAATGCTAGGGTGTTCGGGAGAGGGGTGGGATTAAATTATGGGGAATCAAATTCAAAATGGGAATTAACACAGTTACTTTTTGCCAATGATACTGTGCTTATGGGAGATTCTAAAGAAAAATTGCAAAGGTTAGTGGATGAGTTTGGGAATGTGTGTAAAGGTAGAAAGTTGAAAGTGAACATAGAAAAGAGTAAGGTGATGAGGGTATCAAATGATTTAGATAAAGAAAAATTAGATATCAAATTGGGGAGGAGGAGTATGGAAGAAGTGAATGCTTTCAGATACTTGGGAGTTGACGTGTCGGCGGATGGATTTATGAAGGATGAGGTTAATCATAGAATTGATGAGGGAAAAAAGGTGAGTGGTGCATTGAGGTATATGTGGAGTCAAAAAACGTTATCTATGGAGGCAAAGAAGGGAATGTATGAAAGTATAGTAGTACCAACACTCTTATATGGGTGTGAAGCTTGGGTGGTAAATGCAGCAGCGAGGAGACAGTTGGAGGCAGTGGAGATGTCCTGTCTAAGGGCAATGTGTGGTGTAAATATTATGCAGAAAATTCGGAGTGTGGAAATTAGGAAAAAGTGTGGAGTTAATAAAAGTATTAGTCAGAGGGCAGAAGAGGGGTTGTTGAGGTGGTTTGGTCATTTAGAGAGAATGGACCAAAGTAGAATGACATGGAAAGCATATAAATCTATAGGGGAAGGAAGGCGAGGTAGGGGTCGTCCTCGAAAGGGTTGGAGAGAGGGGGTAAAGAAGGTTTTGTGGGCAAGGGGCTTGGACTTCCAGCAAGCGTGCGTGAGCGTGTTAGATAGGAGTGAATGGAGACGAATGGTACTTGGGACCTGATGATCTGTTGGAGTGTGAGCAGGGTAATATTTAGTGAAGGGATTCAAGGAAACCGATTATTTTCATATAGTCAGACTTGGGTCCTGGAAATGGGAAGTACAATGCCTGCACTTTAAAGGAGGGGTTTGGGATATTGGCAGTTTGGAGGGATATGTTGTGTATCTTTATACGTATATGCTTCTAAACTCTCGTATTCTGAGCACCTCTGCAAAAACAGTGATTATGTGTGAGTGTGGTGAAAGTGTTGAATGATGATGAAAGCATTTTCTTTTTGGGGATTTTCTTTCTTTTTTGGGTCACCCTGCCTCGGTGGGAGATGGCCGACTTGTTGAAAAAAAAAAAAAAAAAAGTTTATATAGTAGTGTACTGTATATTGTAATAAACAGAATAGAGGAAATCAGCTCTAATATACATTATTTAGGTATGCATACTGGTCAGAGAGCCTGTTGTAAGTCCGAGTCATCGGTAAACAAGTAAATTGCTAAGTGAGGAGAGTCTGTATAGACTTGAGGGACAAAGGCTACAGATGTCACTCAGACAGAAGGACCTAGAGTAGCAGTAAAAGTCTATTCTGCAAGTGTGATTTTTCTTCATTACTCTCAGATGTACATCTTTGTATTCGTCTTGTTTTTCTTGATGCTACTATTCGTTTATTGGTCACACGTAATCATTTAATAGAGCCACATCTGCCCATCTTCTCGGACTTCCTCTTCTCTTTTTCCCTTTAATTTAAAATTCTTATTTTGCAGATGCACTTATCTAGTATTTATGCTTAGTCTTATCCATTCCAGTTGGCAACCCACGAAGTAGTGGAAATCTGTGGCAAGATTTTGTATCAAGTGGAGCTGTCTCGGTCTTCATTAGATCACATGTGGGGCTTTAGTGTAGAGGCTGAGCTCATTGAGAACTCGGAGCGGCAAGATGAGCTCTGTTGTTACATATCCAGAGTAGAGGATCGCTCCACTGCCATGCAAAATGGTATGTATTGTCTGTCCTCCACATAATTTTTTGGTACCACCAAGATCACTCAAAAATATTTTTATAGCCCTTTTTCAATAGTAATATACCTATTTCAGTTTTCTAGAACTTATTCATCATGGCCTCTTGTCATAACATTATTACTGTACTGATATATGAGATATGATTTTCTTTTTTCTGTTTTATCCCTCTTTTTTTTTTTTTTTTCATTCTTCATGTCATTCTGGCGACCTTTTCTGGTCTCAGTCTCAAAATTGAGAACATGTTCATTTTCTTTTTTATATACTATACTCATATACAGCATATATAATTTTTACTGTATTGTAAAATTAGATATTTCATCATGACATAAAATACTTCAACTTGTGCTGTTTTCTAAGAAATGCTTTTTACAGTGCCTGTTGTAAATTTTTAACAAAAATCTATATAGGAATTTTCATGGACCTTGCTATTTTCTTGCAGTTTAATTAATTGTAATGATTGTTTTTCATATGTTTTCTCTAAGATAAACTGCTTCAATATAATTAGAGATACATCTTAGATTACAGAGGGAATGTATATGTGCTTTGAGATTAATTCCATCATTAGATCATGTACAGTACAGGTTAATAATGTCTTGTCTTTCATAAGCTATGATTACTAGAGCACAATTTGTATACAGTGTATTCTTGAGTTTATCTTAAAATGGTAAAATGATCACATCAATTTTTTAAGTACTCTAATCTCATATTAAGTTTAATTATTTTTTTAATGTTATGACCACATCTACCAATATGGTAGTTGATTAGTGGCCTGTTACTCCTGTATCAGTGATGCTATGGATTAGATAATAATTCCTTATGCATGGATGAATATGTAATAGCATGGTAGTGCAGTATAGAGTAGAACATTCATAGTGAAAGGAGAGAAGAGTGTTAAAAGGCAAGAAAATAGTTTTTAACATTATTACTACACAGGTATATGTGTATACGTATCTCTTGTATGACAATGTAAAAGGATCAAGTTGACTGGCAAAACTAAAATAGTTACGGTAAGGTGAACAATACAACATTAACAATACAAATCATGGCTTCAAATGATTGAATTGAGGAGAAAGTGGGCATGTGAACATGAAAATACTTAAAAATTAATAAAATTAATTGAAAATAGGACAACAACAAATGTGACTATAATGGTAATAAAACTAAAAAGTTATTTTCCCCCTCTATTAAATATATTAAAATAATTTTTAGGTGTCCTCTAGATTTTCTATAATATTTTTGCATCATTTCCTTGATCTTCAAGCAGTAGTCACTTAAATCGAGGCTATTGTTGGAAATTCATGTCTGTGAAAATGTGGTCGCAGGAGTAATTTTGAACATTAGAAAAAATTGATAAGTAAATAAAAAAAAAAATCTTAATAGTTATGCAAGCAATTAGTTGCTTAAATGGTTTCTAATATTTGTGTGTATGTGCCTCAGCTTGAAAAAAAAAAATTAGGTGCTTAAAAAATGGTGGAACAAATTTGCACATTCTTCCATATTCTATTGTGATTACTCTGTTATTCTTGCCTAATTTTGGTCATTGGGAATCAAGTCTTAGATTTTGGCTCTGCCTCTTATCTACAAGTGATTGGTATTATTGATTCCTAGCCTCTTGAGCTACCATAATTATACATGATGCTACTTCAGGAGCCACCTCCATCACTCCTTCACCAGGATGTTTCGTGTCCTAATCATCCTGAAGGGTTTATGAAACAATTCTCTTTCTGTATTAATGTTGGTAGAATTACCAGCAATATGTTAGGTAAAAGGACACAAGTGCAACTAATGTGACATTTTATTGTGGTAACGTTTCGCTCTCCAGGAGCTTTGTCAAGCTTTTATGGCTTGACAAAGCTCCTGGAGAACTAAATGTTGCCACAATAAAATGTCACATTAGTTGCACTTGTGTCCTTTTACCTAACAATTCTCTTTCTGCCAGCTGATCCTCAGTTTTTTCTCTTTTTTTTTTTTTTTTTTTTTTTTTTTTTCTCTGTGGTCTCTCTCCCTGGCTTCCTTTCTTCTCTTCCTGAGGTATAGTTTTAATCCTTAAATTTTTTTTCAAGAATCACTCTTGTACTTGTACCATCTTGAAAATCAGTTAGAGTTTTTTTTTTCCAGTTGTATACCTGTATGATGAAGAACCTCTTAAAATTCTCTGCTTCATTTTTTGACTCTGTCAGACTTGTCTATGAAATATTTTTCTTTTTTCCTTACTCCTTTCTAGATTTCTCTTCATGCTCTTATTATTTATTGCTAGTATTGTATAAATATTTTTTTTACTCTGTTAGTTTTAATATTCTCCATGGGGAATGGAACAGAATTCTTCCTCCATAAGCCATGCATGTCGTAAGAGGCGACTAAAATGCCGGGAGCATGAGGCTAGTAAACCCTTCTCCTGTATACATTACTAAAGTTAAAAAGAGAAACTCGTTTTTCTTTTTGGGCCACCCTGCTTTGGATATGGCCGGTTTGTTGAAAGAAGAAATTTTATTATTTTATTATCCAGTGAATAATAGTCAGAAGATTACATAGGTAAATAATGGGTCCAAGGACCAAACTTTCCTTGCTGTCTTCCAACTTGGCAGAGTGACCCAAGAAATGAAATATATTCACCATCATTCACTTAATTGCTGTTTTGCCAAAATTGTTCTGACTTAATTCAGATCACCTTCCAACATCAGCAGAGTGTAGAAACTACCCTTTGCACCTCTAGGACTCAAGTCCTAGAGGTGCTAACACCACAACAGCATGACCATTAAAGGACACTTGTCTTCTTTCACTCCTGTTGGACATGCTCACACAAGGCTACTGGATGCTAGAGCTGCCTCTGCCCCCTCCTCCAGTCATTCCTGGGATGATCCCTACCCTGCCTACCTTTTGCCCCTAGATTTATACTCTCTCTTTGTCATCTATCCCATTCTATCCCCTCTAAATGCCCAAATCAACTCAACAATTCTTCCTCAGTCTTCTGAATTATACCCTATACTCTGAACCCTCTGCATATATTCACACTACACATTGTTCTCAAACGTGATATCTCCATTCCCTCCAACCTCCTCTTTGCTGTAGTGTTAGAAGCCCATGCCTCACACTCATGCAAAAAATGTAGACACTACAATAATCTGGTACATTCCTTTTTTTTTTCGTCCTGGGCCTGGCCCATGGCTGAGCTCCGAAAGTAGAAAAACTCAAAACTCATTGAAGGTGTCGATAAACTATGTACTTTCTCTCCACAGATGCCTCAAAACACCACCTATCTTTTTTTCCTCCTCATCTGTTCTATGATTCACATGTTCACATGATTCACATGTTCACATGTTCACATGATCATTACCATATACCCGAATACTTCCTCTGCACTCCATTCTTTTTCATTTTCAGTCTGTCATCACCTTTCTCTTTTCTGTGTTCAGTTTTAAAATTTCTTAATTTTTTACATACTCTCCCAAATTTGACCATGAACTCTTGCCACTTATCTTTAGAATCTCCCAAAAAAACTGAGTCATTGGCAAAGAGCAATTGTAACAACTCACACTTTGTATCAAATCCAAAATCTTTTAATCCCATACCTCTCCCCAGCACCCTAGCATTCAGTTCATCCTTTTACGACCCCATCTATAAATATATTGTTCTAACATCTGAACTGCTCCAGCACACTCACTCTTACTTACGTGCTCCTTGAAAGTCTCACTTTTGATACAGACTCTCTTTTTGACTTTTTAATCTACAACTAACCTATTACAGAAATTTGGATTTTAATTTTACTATCACTAACCCCTACCCCCCACTAACCCCTAACTACACACATCCCTGCTTCTCACTTACTGTCTTTCATACATTTTTACTTTTAAACAGCCATGGTGACATCATAAATCCTTAAGTCCTGCTTTCACTAAAAAATAATTCCCTTTTTTTCCTACATGCCCAAACCTGAGCCTTACTGTCCACATATGAACTCTTCCTTTTCTGTATTTTCTTACAGCTTTCTGGCACCATTGTAGTTAGCAATTTAATACAATTGTTCCCTCGTCTGGTTTGGCTTTGCATGATGCAATTATTTGTATAATTAACCCTTTGAGGATCGCTAGGCCCTCTCAGAGACTTGTTCTCAGGGTCGCCAAAATTTAAAAAAAAAAAATTATTTTTTCTTATGAAAAGATAGAGAATCTTTTCCCGATCATAATGACACCAAAAGTATGAAATTTGATGGAAAACTTACAGAATTATGCTCTCGCGAATTTAGCGGTCTTGACGATGTTTACGCATTGGCGATTTTGCCCACTTTGAGCCCTATTTTTGGCCAATTCCAGTGTACTAGTCGACAAAAATCATAACTATTTCGCTAGAACTCCGTTTTTTCTATCGAATGAGTACAAGAAACCACCCATTTACCGATTTCAACTATCCAATAAAGTGGTCAGAATTTAGCAATTTTGCCAATTTCACACAAATTTCAAAAGTACCAATTTCCAAATAGGGTCCAGAATAAACAAGAAAGACATTTCTGGCACTAAAATAACATTTCCTCTGTTCATTAGTCACATCCCCATGCCCCTCTTACATTTCTTTTGCTTTCCACTTTGAATTTTTATTCTCACAAAAAATAGAAGATTTACTGTTATACAGACTACTGTATTAGTGTAGAAATGGTATAAATAATACCAGCGCACTTGTGAAAGAATATTAGATTCACCAGTTGACGTGTATTGGACGCGTGGCATGATTTGTTTACTTTTGAACTTTGGCAAAAATTGAACATTTCTGCTACTGTGAGCTCAATTTCAAGGTACTTTTCATTGTGAAACCAATCAAAATCATCTCAATTTCTGTAATATGTCTTCCATTCTATAAAATAAGACCAGGAAAACTAGAATACAACCGTAAATACCATACGAAAATAGAGTGCAAAGTCGGTTTTAAACCAAAAACACGGTCAGTTTTTTTTTTTCTCATTACGCACTGTGTGCTGCAGGATTTTTTTATACTGCGCACACTGATCACATAGCCCCATTCTTTCATATGTAGGCCTACCAGCTTTCTCTTGCTAAATTTGAGGGCGCTAGAATTTATGCGTACAAGTACGTCAAAAACTCTAGCGCGTAAGCCGTACTAGTACGTCGGAAATCCCAAAAGGGTTAAATTTTAACTGTGAATGAGTTATTCTTAAGCATTTCTTCAGCATTTTGCACCATGTACATATGACTTTTTTCTTACTGTCACAGTTTCTTCAGTTACAAAAACCTTCATGACTAGGTGTTTACAGATTCTATAATTAATGTTTTTTGATGAGATACTCTCAGGACAAAGAAAATGCACCTAGCTAATTAAGAAACATTTTAACTTAATGCAATGCTCAGTTTAGACTGATAAGTCTAAAGAATAAAAAGGCACAATACCGTGACTGGAACAATACACAAATAACCCCCACATAGAAGAGAGGACCTTACAATGATGTTTCGGTCTGATTTAGACCATTTACAGTCACGCTAACAATCTGGTTTAAATTTTAAACAGACTAAAATATATTTATCTTATTTCTATACCTATTCCTATGTGCAGTGAGGTGGGTAAGATGCAATATAGCTCTTTCTCTAAATTTTACCTATTTACAATTAACATACAGAGGCTCAGCTTCAAGAGAGTTTTCACATTGCAAGAATACTTCATCATTATTCACTGTGTGCACTAAGTTTCTCGTTTATGTAAATTCTATACCTCTGTTTAAACTCACTTTCCAATAAAATTAAGCCATATTGCTTTGCATTTTTGGCTTATTAACCCTCCTGTATTGATACCCTTAGTGGGTTTACTAACAAAATATTGAGGCCCAGTACCTGGGAGCAGTATGTGCCGTTGTAGCCTTTTGACCACTGCACACTGGAGGAGTATGGGGTATATAATAAAACTATCAAACCAACTTCTTCCTCCTATTCTCAAAGTATTTCAACTGTATACACAATCCATAGTCACCCTCCTAGCAAGAGCTCCTAATAATAACATCTATTAAGACGACCTAGTAATAACTTCTAGCTACAGCTTATTAATCTTTTGTACCTATGGTGTCAGAATTTCTTGAGATTGTGTCAGTGCAACGCTCTTCATGAAGTCCGCTTTAGCAGCACTTTGCTTGTCTTTGCCTTACTATTTCTTAACTGCACCCTAATAAGCTCTAAATGCATTCTATGGGTAATCACAGTTTTGCAGTCTTTGCATTGGTATTAAACACAGGCACTGTCAGATTAATCATTTACCATATCTGCACAATTTGGGCTGCCTGTCATCAAACTGCAATATCTTGCAGTGAAACAATAACATTTTTTATTATTTACTTTTATTTATTTAACTGTTCTTTCCCTATTTCTCCTCACTGTACAAGTTGTGTTGATAAAGAGGTAATTTGTACGAAATATTTGGGTTAGGAGGTAGTGTCATGTCTAAATTTAGGTTATGTACACTAAGAGGTGTGTATCTCTGTGTACGTATATATGTCAAGAGATGTGTATCTCTGTATATATATGCTAAGAGGTAGGTATCTCTGTATATATATGCTAAGAGGTAGGTATCTCAGTATATATGCCAAGAGGTGTGTATCTTTCATTGTATATACACAGAGTTGCACATCTGTGTACATTTAGTATGCTAAGATTTGTTTCAGTGTGTATATATATATATATATATATATATATATATATATATATATATATATATATTATATATATATATATATATATATATATATATATATATATAGTGAGGTGTATATCCCTCAGTGTATATACAATAATATGTGTATATCTCTCAATACTTATATGCACTGAGAGTTTAATATAATCGCTAGTTTAAGGTTAAAAATATGGATGATGTGCAGCCTTAATGACTGTCTTGAACCTGACAGGCTGTTTAAACCTAACCTAGCAAGCTTAAGAATCATCATATGGCAAACATGGCATGTAAGATACACTTTCAGTCAAAGAATTCATGAATGAATCTTTAGAAATTAAAAGCATCGTTTAAAATAGGAATTGCAAGTGAGAAACACTGTGTTAACATGACAAAGAATTACATAAAGGTGGAAGTATTCTTGTAAGCATGCATATAGAAAGTATCTTTGTATAACAGACATTGTTATGGAATGGATATCATATACAGTAATACAAAATAATCTTGTGTTTTTTGAAGTAATGTATTGCAATAATTCACTACCTCTCCCTCCCCCTACCCTGTTTGAGTAGTTCTTTTAAAGTAGAGTAATGTGAATTCATTAAATTCAATATTAAATACTGCATAGCTCTTTATAAAAAAGTAACATGAGCACAAACTTAAATATGTTAATTAAACTGCAATATGTAAATACTCCTTGACATACTGATGATATCTGTGACATAAGTTTTTTGTTGTCACTGGTATAATTCTGTTTATTGTAAACTCTTTCCATGCCTCTGACAGAGGAGATTTACGGTAATAATGACCCCAACCAGCACAGTCCCACTCTCTCAGCATTATAATCTATCATTTAAATTGACCATAAAACTGTTCAGTCCTTCTGGTAACTTGCAATATACGGAAGATTACTATTATCACTGGGAGACAGAATGTCGTCTGCTAGCTATCTGAGCATTAGCAGCTCTGGGGAAGTATGCTAATAAATCTCATATGCCAGAATGAGTAAAATTATTTAGATTTTAAGATAATGAAGTAGAATATATATCTTGAATTAACTAACAATTTTAAGAAGTGTAGTCATAGTTTAGATATTGAAACATAAACTCTCTATTTCTCATAGATCCTCATCTGACACTTTCTTCTCCCCACACAGGCATCATCAAGGGCGACGAGATTATGGTCATCAACGGCGCCATTGTCAGTGATCTCGACATGATGTACATAGAAAGTGTTCTACAGGAGGAACTTGCTCTCTGTCTAATGATGAGGTAAGTATTACCATAACTTTATCACTCCTACTCATTGCTCTGTGAACTCAAATTAAATTGTAATAAACATCTGTTAATAAATAAACAAAAGGGTGGAAAAGGGGCTTAAACCACAGTCCGATGCTTTATATTTAAAATATTGAGTTCTTAATCACAGCTGTTAAATTAAAATTCTACCCTCCTTTCTATTTTTATATGTAGAATATAGTCAGAATTTATTTAATGCTGGCTCTGCAGTTTTGTATGCAATACTCTGTATTCTATTTTAGGTTGGTTATTGAATAAATGTAACCTGAATTTATTTAGTACTGGACAGTATCTGCAACTTAATATATTGTACCACCATGTTCAATTATGTTTTCACTAGAATTTACATTTACACACCATGTCTGTAATTTTAATATGTATTAATATATCATATATATTTGTTTTTAATCCATATTAATGCACATAAACTTTAGTATTTTTTCATCATTCTTGTTGCATTTATGGCTTGGCGTGCTAGCACTTGCAAATTTTTTGAAAAAACAATCACGCTAGAAAAACTAAATCCAAAATTATTATTATTTTTATCATTTTTTTAACTCATCTGACGTGTCCTGCCAGGGCAGGGTGTGTCAAAGAACAAAGCATTTAGTATCATTCAAGCAATTGCTGTCTTTAACCCTTTCAATGTCTCTCAAATAAATCTGCATTGACACCATTGTCACTCACCTAGATCTATGTTTTAAGCACAGCACCCTCAGATATGCTCTGAGCAGTAAATTTGGCCTAGCCATGAGAGAATGGGTCTGTATGGTGAGTGTGTGGAAATATAAACACATATGCAGTATAATGTGATCCTTTATTGACAATGTTTCGCCCACACAGTGGGCTTTTTCAAGTCACAAACAGATCTGTCACAAGTCACAAAATGATCTGTTTGTGATTTGAAAAAGCCCACTGTGTGGGCGAAACATTGTCAATAAAGGATCACATTATACTGCATATGTGTTTATATTTCCATTGTGTCAGTATTTTATACCATTCATTTCCATGGTGAGTGTGTACAGTATAAAAAAAGTCCTACCCCACACAGGTGGTTTTTATGGTTTTATTGGCTGTTTCTTGGTTTCAGTTGATAAAATGGAAGACATACTAGTAAAATAGAGATGGTCCATTTCAGGACCAGAAGTATTTTGAAATAGGGCTTAAAATAATGGAAAATATTCAATTGTTGGCGATTTTCCTGACTCTGACTCCCCCCTCGATTTGTTTTATGGGTTTTACTAGGTCTATTTCAATTATTGGGGTGGTTTAAACCATAACCAATCATTCTTGGTTATATTTTATTATCCAAAAATAGGGTAAAACTTTGACCTTTTGTGTGATGATGGATTCAAAGTAGAAGGCAGGTGTAATATAGGAGAGGCCTGTGGACATGATTAATGAACAGAGGACGGGTTGCTTTAGTTGGTGGAATGCATACACTGTTTATTTTGGATTCTGCTTTTAAATTGGTATTTGTTAAATATTGTGTGAAATTGGCCATATTACTGATTTCTGTGCACCTTACTGGGTAGTTCTGATAGTTAAATGGGCAGTTCCTTATGCTCAGTCGATAGAATGGAAGGTATACTGTTAATAATAATAGTTAGGAATTTGGTTGAAACGATCAAAGGAATTAACTTGAAACAGGTGTCAAAATGGGCAAAATAACCGATGCATATACGTATTGCGCCCAGACCCCCACCTTTGTGTAATTCCAAAGGTTTTCTATAAAATTTCATGTTTTTGGTATCATTACCTTCAGAAAGACTTTCTACTGTTGCTGAATATTCTTTTTTATTACAAATTGCAACACTGTCAGCACTTTTAAATTCAGGGGTTGTGATAGTGAAAGGGTTAAAAAAGTGTGCCGACAACACACTTGGTTTATCCTCCAGCTGCAGCATCCCTACTTCTTTTTCAGAGTGCAGACATTGCCCTTCCTATCTGCAGGTCTCAGGTCTGGCTAACCAGTTTTTCTGAATCCCTTCATAAAAGTTACCTTGCTCACACTCCAACATCACATTCATTAAAATTTTCCATTAAAAACCAACTGTCTCCATTCACTCCTGTGTAACACGCTCACACATGCCTTCTGGATGCTCAACTACCTGAAACTCACTGCCTATTTTACCGTCTTCCTTCAACCATTCCTGGGACATCCCCACTCCTACTTTCCATCCCAGATTTATACACCCTCTTCATTGACCTTTCTTTCTCCATCCTCTCTGAATGACCATACCACCTCAGTAACCCCTTCTCAGTTGCTGAATTATACCATTGGTAATGCAGCATTGCCTTTTATGTAAATTAAAAATGCTCATTACCAAAAGAAAATAATTCAAACAATGATGTCCGTGTATTTCTGGAAAGGCAACTTAGGAATGGATGGATGCGTGTTTCTTTGGGTCTCCCTACTTTGGTGGAAAATTAGCGCTTTGTTAAAAAATTGTCAAATGAATTTCAGAAACATGCAGTCATTGTTTTAATGTCAACTTCTTACCTTCTTCAGATCCTCCAGGACAGAACCACCAGATTTGGCTTCGTTAATGAAAACCACAGATGAGATCATTGAGTCGTTGGTGTGTCCCCCTCCACCCAGTGAGATGTCTCTAAATGAAGAGATGATATCTAGGATGATTGTTCCAGCCCCATCTTGGAGCAAATCCATAGTTTCTGGTCAGTTATGTTACCTCTTGTTTGGTACATGCAGCAGTATAATTCTTTTTACTTTGAAAGAGAAATACACTTCATGGATGAAGTGTATTTCTCTTTAATAGTAAATTAGGTACACTACACTATGTGGCCACCCATTCCATGTGATATTCTACAAGAATTACTGTATATTATGGCAAACAAGATGCTGTGGTGTCAAGGATGCCTGCTCCCCCCATTCTGATCAGCCAAATTTGGGAAAAAAAGATAAACAGTACTTCAGCCTCCAAGATGCTAGGTAAATTTTTAAAACTTATTTTGGAGACATAATAGTGTCTTTGACACCCTAAAATACGGTATGTTTACCAAACAACCATTACACAGGGAGGCTTTCCATCTGTATGTATGTGTATAGGATTATTGAAGTATCTTGAGCATACCGTTAATGTTGAACTGAGTATGTATAACTAAGGTTGTTTTCAGTCAATATGCAAGCAGAGAAAATACACTGATTAAGTCCCTTTTTTAACTTTAGTGTTCCTCAATATTTTTTAAGAGTAAAAAATTAATTAGATCTTTCATTATGTAAAGTCAAGTGCAGGATAAAACCTACATTTCTGCTGTATGTAACATAGATTCTCAACCAAACTAAAGTTCTGAGTTTTATGTTTAACATCACATTTTTATAATTGAAATGAAACGTATGTTCAGGTCTTTGGAAAACTCAGTGAAAATTTTGAAATATCTATAGATGTTGCAAGTCATTGTTGTGTTAGGTAAAAGGACATGTGCAACTAATGCAACATTTCATTGTGGTTCTCTACACATATGCTGCTATGTATGATAATTTGTGTAACTGTATTTGTGTATACCTGAATAAACTTACTCCAGGAACTTTGTCATGCAACTTGACAAAGCTCCTGGAGAGGAAAATGTTACCATGGTAAAATGTCACATTAGTTGCTTGTGTCATGTATCCTTTTTACCTAACATATTGTTGGTAATTCTACCAGCATTATTACAAGTCATTGTTGTGTTGTGTGTCTATAGCACATTACACCAAATCAAAATGATGGCAAAATATAAACATGCATCATCTTTTAAACAAACTCCACCATCATGAAACAGCCAAACACATTTAACCAAACACTTCTCCAGTTGGAGCCTTGAACATTACTGAGCTGGGTGAAAATGTTGAGCATGTTTGCTTACACCTGCTGTCCCTGTTCACCATGCAGTAAGTAGGGACATGGGTGTTAGTTGACTGGTGTGGGTCACATCCTGGGGGACAAGGTTGAAGGACCCCAATGGAAATGAGACAAGACAGTCCCCAAGGACACACTGACTTTTTTGGGTTATCCTGGGTGGCTAACCCTCTGGGTTAAAATTCTGAACAAATCTTATGTTAACGTAGCATTTTCCAGTAACATGACTAGAGGTAAGGTAAGGGGACAATCTCAAAGAACATCTGAAGAATGCACAAGGGGCTTCACAAATTACTGGTAACTGTCTCCTCTGCCTAATGAAGTCAAAACCAATTTATCTTGGTATTCACCAACATCAACAACCAAAGTTAAAGAAAAGATAAAACAATCTCCAGTTGATTTCTTGTGATTTGCCAAAGGTATCTGATCCATTCAAGACCTGTAGACCATCATCAAGAAATGAGAACGTAGACTTTGTGAGATGAAGATAATAATTCGTCTGAAGAATATATTAAGGAATATACTAAACCAGCTAGTTGAACAATCCACAGATATGCAGGAACTGCAGGCAAGCAAAAGAAAGTTTATGAATTCTGTATTAAACTCGAATCAAAGAAAGTAAAAACCTTCAAACCACAGAGTAGGTATATAAAAATTCAAAATTCTTTGACTCCAAGCCATTCTGAAAGTTTGTATCAACAAATGAACACTGGAACATCAACACTATTATTATTATTATTATTATTATAATTTTAAGCGCTAAACTCGTAAGGGTCATACAGCACTGGGATGAAAAAAACTCAGTGATTCAGAGATCATGAATAGATGTAATTTTTCACATAAGCACACAGCTTACATGATAACGTGAACAGCGTAACTCAGGAAAATTTTATATATTAAAATTATTACATCAAGATAGCTATAGGACAGAAACAGATACAAGAGGGCCCCACTTATACAGCAGGTTAGGTTCCAGGGTAATGTAGGGCCCTGCTTATACAGCATGTTAGGTTCCAGACTACTCCAGTAAAGCAAAAATGGCTGTAAAGTGAATCCATATCCTTTTTTTCTACTTTCAAATGCATATAAAAGCCTGGTAACATGTTTACACTGTCGTTTATTAAGTGAGCAATATAGCTAGACATAAAAATGAATATACAATACACACAGTACTTAAAATATTTTTGTCCTTAGCTTATAGTGAGTGGTGAATATATTTATTGTAGGAAGTGTGAAGTAATGAAGGATGAGTGTAATTGAATACTGCATTAGCAAAACACTAAAGTGAGGCACTGTAAAGCAGAGCTCTCCTGTGTACATGTTTGGAGACATGGTGTGATTAAACTCTACACAGAGTGAAACATTCTTTTAAATTATATGCTAGATTTAAGTAGTATGCAGGCCTTATGATTAGTTTGTCCAAAATACATTGCATAATTACTGGCTTTCTTCTGTGCCTATACTTTTATCATATTGTGTATATCTGCTCTAACTTGTATTGCTCATAAGAAATAAAAACTTTAATTTTAATTTTTTAATATAAACTCATTTCTTCGTCTTCATGCTTGTTGGCAGTTTGATGTCTCGCCCACTAAATTTACATGTTAATACTTCACAAAAAAGCACCAGGAACTTTCATATAGGTTGAAATAAAACACTTGTCCTGAGAAGAATCAGTCTTTGTTATATTCAAGATGGCACAATAATTGCTAAGTATGTCACAAAAATAAAAAGGGAATAAAATGTGATATATGAAAATTGATTTAAAACCTTAAATGTTGGTATTCAAACATGTGAAACTGATCTAAAAACCTTTTAAATGTTAGTATTTAACTTAAAGTACAGCCTTTTAAATACATTGTGGTAAATAATTAACCCCACCATGTACTGCTGCACTGCTAACGTCTCACCCAGCACCAGATTATGGCCCTAGGTGATACATTAGGCTTTAGGGGCTGCAGCCTAGGGTCCCCTGCCAGCTGGAGGGCCTCTAGAGTTGTTCTCAACAGCTTACAATTTACTGATATTTTGGAGCAATTTGTTTCCAAGAAATTATACAAAGCAAATGTTTGAATTTTAATTATGGTTAGTCTTCTAAAAATAAATTTAATATTTCTTTAATTTTTTGTTTCTTTGGAAAATATCACTGGGGACTTTGATACCACCTTCAGATTTTCTTAGCATAGCACTGGGGGTTGAGTCCTAGCTCTTGTGTTGGGTCATAAATATCAACACCATATTAAATTAATTATAATTATTTTGCATATATTTTGAAGATACTATAGTTAGAGGCCAACTTATTATTACGGTATGAATAGTTTGATTAAAAAAAAATAAAAAAAATTATTACTCTGATGGAGATAATTGGGTTTTATTTTTGTTAAGTTCTTTAATCGTTCTACTTCATGCTCCAGCAGAATCTTACTTCACTGGTACAGTGTGGATACCAACTAACTTATTGTTCCACCTTGCCTGACCTTTACTTCAGCGGACCGTAGCTGTGACGCGGGACCCTTAACACACAAGCCAGCTCAAAACACACCTAGTGTGGCAACCTGTCTGACTCCCTGCTTCCCTGTCACCACTCTCTGCCAGTCAGGAAAGGAAGGGCAGAAGAAGGAAAACACATTCTCATCTTGGGTGACAAACCCCACTGAGCCCCCTCTACCCATCTCCCGTGATCTTATTGTCATCCACGTGCCTATTCTAAATGATCTTACCTACAACTCTCCTGCTGCATCTCCTGCTCCTGATGCTGCTGCTGCTGCTGTGAGCACGCAAAGCCCTTTAACCACCACCACAGCTACCATCTCCACAGCCATTACTGCCAGTTCACAGGCTACTTGCACCAGCACTGCCATTAGCACTGCTGTTCTCACCCACACATCAGGAAGCACATCTCTTGCTGAGCATTCTCCTCACACTCCATTAGCAGCATTACAATATAAAGGATGTTCAGCGAGTGTTGGGTCACAACCAAATGAGACAAGCACTCAACACCAAAGATGTGGAGATGATAGACAATTATCAGGGGTGAATCAACTTAAGAGACAAAAGTGGGCTGTGGCACCCGTTCACACTCCGGGGTTGCATCTTCATAGTAGCAGTGAGAGTGATTCCTTGAGCCCCACCAGTAAGTTCAGTGTCATCCCATCTGTGAACCTGGCTCCTCCTTGCCAGTATCAAAGGTTTAGCAGGCAGACTTTACAGCCACCAAGCTTTCACTCAACGAGAAGCAGTAAACATGGGATTCCACGCCCCACTTACTTAGCAACTGACCTCACAACTCCAGTCACTGTTCCCTGCCATGCTGTCTTCTGTGCCTATAGCACTTCTCCAGAAGCTCGCAGCTTGCAGGCTTTATTAAAAGAGTCTGCCAGAATCCACAGTATAAAGATGCACAGGACTTACAGTGTGAAGCACGGGCAGAGCTCTGCTCGTTCACCCTGCTGCAGCAGTGGTAACAGGAGTCCACCCCTGTCAGAGTATAGACCAATAACCTTTGGCAGATCTCCCAAAGATATACCAGGGATCACGAAGAGCTATAGTACTCGGTTGTCCACTGGGTCCCGTCCTTCTTGCATGCTGTGCCAGCGGTCTTCTACAAGCAGCAGGATGACACGACACAGCCGTGGGAGGAAGGCTATGCTGTGTAGGCCTATGGTTTAATTTTACCTTTCCCTCAAGATGCACCCTAGCCAGTGTCTTCACTTCAGGAATTGCACATTGCTGTTTATATATGAATACTATGCACTTTTTATATCCAGTTAGCACACCACAAACACTTTAGCTGTACCAAAAGATTATAGACTTACATGTGTACAGTATTTTTAGATAATATAGTACAGTACTACATCTGCATTGGACCCCCCTTTTAGCTCCCCATGTACAACAAATTAGCAGTCGACTACAGTGAATTCGACATGTAAATATTTTATATATATACATAGAAAATGAATGGAAATGTGTTGAGAGCAACATAGTTTGTACTAGAATATATGAATCCCCAGTTGTCTTGACCTTCATAGTCATTTCTACACTTTTATGCTTGCTAGTATCATTTTTCTTTTGCAACACAGTCTTCTCAGCACCTCAACTGTGCTTAATGAGAACCTTTAAAATTCTGTGTTACTTTCTAAATTTTATGAGCATTATCATAGCATTCTTTCAAAATTTTGGCACTACTTTGAGATTGTCTTCAAAATACTTTACAGCCCTTCAATATAATCTTATACTGCATAAAACAGCTATGAAATCAAGAAGTTTAACTCAGTGGTTGATCATATGTATATCAGCACACACATATCCATTGTTTTTTAATTGCATTAATGTATTTGTGTTTTTGAATTACAGGCAAGGAGCCAGCAAGTCCAGATGGGTTTCCCCCGCCTCCCTCCGACACCTCAGAGCGATCTAATGTATCCTCACTAGAAATCGAGAGTTACCTCAAGGTATGTATGAGATTCTAGATTTTATGGTATTGTTTTTAATGGAGCTGTAAACTTGTGTAGGTTATCTGGCAAGAGTGGAGGGAGGCTTGATCCTCTTGTTTGCTAACTGTGACCTGGTTTTTGATCAGTCAAGCTGTTGGCGATTGCACAGTGACATTCCAGAAATTTGTTTCATGCATGTTTGCTCACCATGTGGGAACTGTTATATGCATTTCCTTATTAAGTTCTGGTTGGAAGAGTTGTTTATTGTGATAGAGAAGGAAAAACTTTTATGAAGCAGAAGTTTGTGGATACACATTTAAATTTTTTTTTTTTTTCAACAAGTCGGCCATCTCCCACCGAGGCAGGGTGACCCAAAAAGAAAGTCCCCAAAAAGAAAATACTTTCATCATCATTCAACACTTTCACCTCACTCATACATAATCACTGTCTTTGCAGAGGCGCTCAGATACGACAGTTTAGAAGTCCCTCTAAACTGTCAGTATCCCAAACCCCTCTTTTAAATTGCAGGCATTGTACTTCCCATTTCCAGGACTCAAGTCCGGCTAATCGGTTTCCCTAAATCCCTTCATTTAAATTATATTGAAAATTAAGAACTTAAGAAATATTATTTGCGAAGAAATTATTCTATAGTCTGATTAAGTGTTAGTGAATCAGGTACAGGGTGACTTGGATTTGTTATTATTGCTTTTTATATTTCATTGAGAAAAATTTGTCTACAGAAATATTGAGCAGGTTCATGAAACAATTAGTATGTGCTGGTGCACTCTGCTTCAAGCAAAGATGCTTCCTCTGAATGTACTTGCTTGGACTTATACCTCTTTTGCACAACATTGCAAGCTCCTGATGTGTTGATTGCAACATAAAAGGCCTAGAGCTGTCATTCAACTCCCCCCACCATGGTTGTCTTGTATCGCTTGTTTGCAATTTTTGCATTTTACTAAATAAATTATGCTCTATGAAATAACTGGGGAATGTCTGTCCTGACCAGAAGTCTGTATATGACTTCATCGGGTTATCCTAGGTTAAATCTATATTATGTAATTTTTTTGTACTCGACCCATGATATTTGAGTGCTCTCAAGGCCAGTGTAGCAAATTTGTATGTTATGTATCCAATGCCTGAATAAAAGTTATTAAATCTTAATCATTGATGAATCTTACTCAGAAAACTGTTTGGATTGATTTTGGTCTGTGCAGGTCCAAAATTTCCATTTTTATTGAAAATTTTGGAAAAATTGCAATTCTGGTTTCTTTAAGATAATTTATGCTTTCCCAATCCTTTAACTTAGTAATGTAGCTTTGGAGTGGCTTCAAACTTAGTGTTATTGTATTATGGGATATTCTTCTATGTAAGATAGCTATAGAATGCTGCTTCAGTCTGTCTTAAAACTTTTAAAGCTTGTCTTTCTTGGTGAAACATTTGATTTTGTGTTGGTCTGTGCATGTCCTATATTGTCCATTTTTATTAAAGAAATTGGGATATTTGTTTCCACGTGATAATTTGTGAGTGCCTCTTCCAGTTTGTGTAAAATCAACGACACTAATATTTAACTGCATTGCAGACTTAAGCCACACACTGTGCTATTCCTTCCATTTGCATTGAGGTACAGTGGTACCTTGACTTACGAGTTTAATTCGTTCCGTGACCCAACTCAGAACTCAATTTGCACATGTATCAAATCGGTTTTCCTCATTGAAATTAATTGAAATGCCATTAATCCATTCCAGCGGAATTCCTGGCTCTTGCTAGGCAGGAGAAAATACATGTAATTCAATATAATGTTAATATCAGCTCTACTGCTTATTTATCTATCACAATTGTTCTAATATGATGTAATAAACAATATAAATAACATAGAAACATGATATATACTCTAGAATGAATAAAATGTCATTATGTGACGAGTGGTGGCAGCCACTCCCGAGGTAAAAATAATTATCGCTCTGACTATATCTTCCCATTCTTGCCCTTCTGAGGTCTTATTATAAGAGAAAACCAAATGTTTGTGAGGCTAACTGCACTAGATCAATAGTTTCATAAGGAAAACACTGAAACAAAAATAATTTTCTCAGAATTTTTTTCTTTTTTCGAGTCAGGAGACCAGCCTACACTTTGGGTGAATATCTTGGAAGTAAATCAGCGTAAATGCCTTGTGCCATCTTGCAGAGAAGGCACAAGGCACGAGGTACCTACTACGCTTGTACTGCCTAGCTAAGTCGACTACATGCACACCTCACTCATGTTTTTCTATGATTTCATGCTTTAATTCAATGGACATCATCCTCCTCCTCTTCTCAGCACTGTCCTTTGCACTTACTTTCTTAGGACCCATGGTTAGAAAAAAGAAATTTGGCCAAATAACTGCACAACACTCAAGCACAACACAAGAGAGATGCTTCCATGCCGAGGTAACCATGTGTACTGTTGTGGCATTCACTGCACCAACTAGTGGTGGCCTGGTGGCTAAAGCTCCCGCTTCACACACGGAGGGCCCGGGTTCGATTCCCGGCGGGTGGAAACATTTCGACACGTTTCCGTACACCTGTTGTCCTGTTCACCTAGCAGCAAATAGGTACCTGGGTGTTAGTCGACTGGTGTGGGTCGCATCCTGGGGGACAAGATTAAGGACCCCAATGGAAATAAGTTAGACAGTCCTCGATGACGCACTGACTTTCTTGGGTTATCCTGGGTGGATAACCCTCCGGGGTTAAAAATCCGAACGAAATCTTATCTTATCTCTCTTATCTTATCTTATCTGAAGCTCGCTCATAACTCAGATTTTGGCTCACAATTCAAAGCAAAAAATCAACCAAGTGATGGCTCGTAACTCGGAAAACTTGTAAGTTGAGGCACTCGTAAGTCAAGGTATCACTGTATAGGGACTGGGATTGTCATGCAGTGACTGAAATACATCTAGTTATATTTAGAAGCATTGATCTGATGAGCTGATGGGGCATTAATCTGGTAAGTTGAGTCACTGATTTGGGGAGTTGATGGAGCACTGAGGGGAGTTGATGGGGGCATTTAGGGGAGTTGATAGGGCATTTAAGGGAGTTGATAGGGCATTTAGGGGAGTTGATGGGGCATTTAGGGGAGTTGATGGGGCATTTAGGGTAGTTGATAGGGCATTTAGGGAAGTTGATGGGGCATTTAGGGGAGTTGATGGGGCTTATAGGGGAGTTGATGGGGGCTTATAGGAGAGTTGATGGGGGCTTATAGGAGAGTTGATGGGGGCTTATAGGAGAGTTGATGGAGTCTTATAGGGGAGTTGATGGGGGCTTATAGGGGAGTTGATGGGGCTTATAGGAGAGTTGATGGGGCTTATAAGGGAGTTAATGGAGGCATTTAGGGGACTTGAGTTATTGATGGGGAGAATCACAGAGCTGCTGAAAGGGACCAGTATATCCAAAATACAGAAGGAGGTATTAACCAGAGAAATAGAAAATACTGAACTTAAGCTTAAGGAGTCATAAAGGAGCCAAAAACCACAGGGAGCACTTAAAGCCACCTGGATACCCATCAGTTGCACAACCCAGGGCAGCATGGGTTTAGAACAGGTCAATTCTGCCTCTCACAACTACTGGACCACTATGACATGATCTTGGATGCACTGGAGGACAAACAAAATGCAAATGTAGTAGTATACACAGATTGTGAAAGCCTTCGACAAGTACGATCATGATCATCACACATTTTGTGTGATTAAGGAATAACAGGAAATGTGGGTAGATGAATCTATATCTTCCTAACAAACAGTAATAGTAAACAGTAAAATCAGAGGTGGCTACAGTGAAAAGCTTTGTTCTGCAAGGTACAGTACTACCATCCTTTACCTCATCCTCATATTTGACATAGACAGAGATGTAAGTCACAACACCATGTCCTCTTTTGCTGATACCTGGAGAGAATTAACACTAAATACCAGAATTTCCATGAGTGTCATCCATTGAGAACACTGCAGATCTCCAAGTGGACATAAGCCAAGTCTTTAAATGGGTTTCAGAAAACAATATGAAATTCGGTGAAGACAAATTTCAATTACTCCATTATGGAAAACTGTCAGACATAAAAAACCTGGATTGGAGTATAAAACAAATTCCAGCCACACGGTAGAACGAAAAACTAATGTGAAGGACCTGGGAGTGATAATGTCAGAGAATCTCACTTTCAAAGATCACAACAATGTATTTACCACATCTAGGAATATGATAGGATGAATAATGAGAACCTTCAAAACTAGGGATGCCAAGCCAATGATGATTCTCTTCAAATTGCTTGTTCTCTCAAGGCTGGAATATTGCTGTACACTAATGGCCCCTTTCAAAGCAGGCGAAATTGCAGACCTGGAGAATATACAGATTACTTTCATGGCATGTATAAGTACAATAAAACACCTAAATTACTGGAAACAGTTGAAGTCCCTTGACCTGTACTCCTTGGAATGCAGGCGAGAAAGATACATGATGATATCTACTTGGAAAATCTTAGAGGGACTAGTCCCAAATCTGCACATGGAAATCACTTCCTACAAAAGCAAAAGACTTAGCAGGTGCTGCAACATCCCCCAGTGAAAAATAGAGGCGCCATGCGTATGCTAAGAGAACACAATAAGTGTCGGGGCCCAAGACTTTTTAACTGCCTCCTATTATACATAAGGGGGATTACCAATAGACCTTTGCCTGTCTTCAAGAGGGAACTGGATAGGCAGGTAAAGTCAGTACCTGACCAGCTGGGCTGTGGCTCATACGTCGGTTTATGTGCGGCCAGCAGTAACAACTTGGTTGATCAGGCCCTGATCCACCATGAGGCCTGGTCATGGACCAGGCCACAGGGATGTTGACCCCTGGAACACCCTCCAGGTATACTCCAGGTATACATTTTTCTTGCGAAGTTGTCTTCACATGTTCCCTGTTTTAACTGTGATTGATAAATTTAACGTCTGTGAGTGTTCCACTGAGTGAACATGAGGGCGATTCAACAAGACCGATTTTGCATGT